GCTCTTCATCCGGCCACGAGGCGCGGCTGCAATACAACCGGAGGTCTTCTGCAATGGCGAGAAACTTTGTGTGACCCCTACAGCCCAGTACCTTGGTTTAGTCCTGGATAATGATTTATCCTGGGCTCCACATGTGGAGTATATTGGTCGCAAGACAGCGCGAACAATTGGTCAGCTCTGGAGGCATGGGCGAGACTGAGTTTGCTTGCCCGGCGAACTTGGTTCTTGAGCATGATCCTTTCCCAGCTGTGTTATGGTTCAAACAGTTTCTTTCCAGGACTTAGCGCACACCTGCTTGGTCAGCTTGAAAAGATGTTCAAGGCTGGCATCTGTGCAACCTTGCAACAGCGGCTCTTGACTCCAACTGCCCAGCTGCTCTCTCTCTGCTCAGCATTGTTAGTCTACCACATACATATACACACAAAATTGTCGTATTTGTTCATCGATGCATTAACTCCTCCTGTAGCCACCTTCTTCAACAATTATTCACCCGAACGGCCCCAGAGACTGTTCCGGAGGATCAGCGCACCACATGGGGACAAGTGTCGAACTTGCTTCAAGTTCCCTTTCTTCGTGGGCCTGAGGGACCATCGACCATGATGTTTCGAGGAAGCACTCTGTGGAACGCTCTCCCCTCTGATTTTAGAGTCATAGGTGTCCCTGGTCCCTTCAGAAAAGCTCTTTCTGCCATTGATATACTTACCTTGTGAATATCCTCGTTATACCTTTATTATCTGCCATAAACTCCAACCTTCTCGTCTATCAATCATTTGTGCATGCATGTCTATAAAATCAACCACGTATTCCAGACTCCATGAAATTGTCTTTCTATTCTTTGACTCCATGAAATTATTGTCTTTCTATTTCTGACTGCATGAAATTGTCTTCACCGAAGGATGTACCCAGAGTGCTGACAGTGCTCAACACCACAAAGGCAGAGCGTAATACACAACAGAACAACAAGGACGATCAAGGCTTGTTTGCTGCTACTTTAAGTTTCATGCTTACGCAATCATCAGGCAACATGAAGATCGGGTGCCGACCATGCCAGTCTATATGCCAGGAGAGGGTGGTATAAAAGCTGTATGAGACCGTGGGGGCTAGCGCAGTAGCGGTGATGTTTTAGGCAGGGGGCTGTGTGCAGAGTGTGTGGTTGTTGAAGGCAGGGGCTAGCAGTGCAGTGTGAGCGCGAAGTGTGTGGCTGGTGTGGACAGGAGGTGGTGAGCAATGCGTGTGGATGTTGTAGGCAGGTGGCTGTAGAGCTAGCAGTGTGATAATAGCGCAATGTAAATGGATGTCTGGTGTGGGCAGGGTGTTATGCGCAAGGTGTGTGAACGTGAATGGTGTGGGCAGGAGGCTGTGGAGACATGTTTAGGTGACACCGTGGTTTTTAGGAGATACTTGTTCTCGTGTCGGCACTTGGTATCACATCCTGAACACGCTAGGGTCACCGTCCAGCCTCAACAAGCGCTCTGAAATGGTGTCCAAGTGCCGACACGAGAACAAGTATCTCCTAAAAAACCACGGTGTCACCTAAACATGTCTCCACAGCTTCCTGCCCACACCATTCACGTTCACACACCTTGCTCATAACACCCTGCCCACACCAGACATATCCATTTACATTGCGCTATTATCACACTGCTAGCTCTACAGCCTCCTGCCTACAACATCCACACGCATTGCTCACCACCTCCTGCCCACACCAGCCACACACTTCGCGCTCACACTGCACTGCTAGCCCCTGCCTTCAACAACCACACACTCTGCACACAGCCCCCTGCCTAAAACATCACCGCTACTGCGCTAGCCTCCACGGTCTCATACAGCTTTTTATACCACCCTCTCCTGGCATATAGACTGGCATGGTCGGCACCCAATCTTCATGTTGCCTGATGATTGCGTAAGCATGAAACTTAAAGTAGCAGCAAACAAGCCTTGATTGTCCTTGTTGTTCTGTTGTGAAATTGTCTTCATATAATTTTTTCCTTTTTCTTCTTTTGGTCCTTTCTGTCTTATAATTATTATTATCATTTCTTGTTTTCCCTTGCATATCATCCCTTCATCATTTTGTGAGAACCTGTCCTATGGGCACGTGAGAAGGCATCTCTGCCTGTTCATTTGGTGAAGTAAAATAAACAACCACACCAACCCTTATAACAAAATTACCCTTATAACAATATTTCTTGGTCTGACACAAAATATCATTATAAGGGTAGGTCGACTGCAGCTCCTATTTCACCAAGCTTGACTTGCGCGCGGGATACAATCAAATTAGAATCCGTCAAGAAGACGTACCAAAGGCGGCGATAAACATCACACTTGGTCATTTCAATTTCCGTGTATTATTATTTGGGTTGACAAACGCTCCTTTAGTCATCCAGGCCCTGATGAATGTTATATTCCGACCCTGTCAACGAATGTTTATAATGGTGTTGCTACACGACATTCTGATCTTTAGAAGAACCTTTCAAGACCATGTTCAACACATGGAAACCACTTGATTGTTCAGATTTTGATTCTCATCTTGATTGTGGATCAACTCGATCAAATCCGTCGATCTGCTATGTCACGCAGTGGTCGGCGCACGGACAGTTTCAGGACGCAAAAATATCGTGCTTCGATCGCACAAACCGAGATTTGTTCAATAGTGTTTGCACTTCTGCAGAATTTTGCTGCTCGTGAAATTCGAGTCGTTCGGGGAAGGAACTCGTTGTTGTTTGGAGTGACAAGGATTGTCAGTTCCAATTTATTGTCAGACTAGGTAGAGGTGACCACGCTGCAGTGTTTGGCGTGCTGGTGTAGGAGTTGCATTTTGATGTAAAGTATATTTTTCGCAGTAAAAGAGTATTTATTTGTAGAGCTTGTGTTGATACAGATTCCTAGGTTCAAACCCCAAGATGGGCAGTTAGTTACATTTTTCTCTCCTTGCGTATTTTGTATCTGCATGTTATTGCCCTTTCCGTGAGTCGCTCGTGAGTAATGTATGAGTCGTGTATGGCTAAACCCGTATTTCCCCACTTTACCCGTATGACTGTCTGTTGTGAACTGTGATTGGCTGCTAGTGTTATTGTTCAAGAACATCAGCATAATTAAGCAATCACAGTTCACAGCTCTGGAATATTCCAGAATTTCGTCGGCGACCGGTTTATATAGATTGCTGATTGGTTGATGACCTAAAAAACATGGATGCCGCTCGCCGTGTGTTTTGTCTTCTTGCATTGTTCTTTTCTTGTGCTCTTTCACTTCTTATCTTTACTTGCCGAGTGTGCAACTAATAATTCTGTCCTAACGAGTATTCGTGAAACCACAAAGTGAGTGCTTTATTTGAGTGTGTGAAATTGTCTTCGAGGGCCAGCTATTACACTTTATTTTACATCACATGTCAAACGGGCAGTTTTGCCCAATGTTATGAAAGCGATGTCGGGTAGGAAATTTGCAAAGTTGCAATGTGGTGAAGTGAAAATATTCAACATGTACACCTGCCGTCGGATGATCGCCTACAGACACCACCGCCGCAAGCAACGGCTCCCCGAGCCCACGCTTCGCTGCCCACGTTTATTTTGTTCTGCGTGTCTATCCAGGGTCGCTAACCCGGCTCGCATAACATCCCGTCGGGCATATAATTCCCGCTGAAGAATTGCTTACAGACACTACCGCTGCATGCTACGGCTCCACGGAGCCAGGGCTTTGCTTTTTTGCACTTACCACCCTAAGACCAGATGCAGGTCATTTCTTTTTCGGTTGAGGTAGGTGTGCGTGGTTTCATCCCAGACTCTCTTCGAAGGGCTCTGAAAGCGCTTGGGTTTTCTAATCGAAGAATAAAATTTATTTGTGATTTGTGCAGTAAGACGTCTTTGCGAAGCAGCTACATCATCTGGTTGCGACGTCAACAAAAACACTGGTCGGAAGATCCACTTTTCTGAGGTACTGTATGTGGGGCTCCGTTTATTGAGGTGCGTTGAAATTTATTCTCTTTATCTTATTATTTCTTTTCTATAATTTCCCCATATGAGTTCCTATCAGTTGCTGTGAGCACCTTGAGTGGAGAGCGCTTGCTCGAGCGTTGAACCGGGTTCTTAATCCACCATACCCAGTTCGCAAGGCTGGGCGGGGTTGTGAGCAGGCTTTCATGTCATCTTTTCTTATTATTTCATATTATTTCTGCTTTTCATCTCTTTACTAAAATTCTGCGCATTTTTTCTCCATCTGCGCATAAAATCTAGACTGACAACCTGCTTGTTAAATCATGCACCTGCTTTCAGGCGTAAAAACCCTGTTGTAGAGGTCTCAGTCCTCATTTGTTAGACTCGCCTGTCTTTATAAATGTAACTCACTCTCTCTCTCTCTCTCTCTCTCTCTCTCTCTCTCTCGCTCTCTCTCTCTCTCTCTCTCACTCTCTCGCTCTCTCTCTCTCTCTCTCTCTCTCACTCTCTCTCTCTCACTCTCTCTCTCGCTCTCTCTCTCTCTCTCTCTCACTCTCTCTCTCTCTCTCTCTCTCTCTCCCTCTTTCTCTCTCTCTCTTCTATTGGCGTGCCTGGTTGTGATGAAGCAGAGACCCAAGGTCGGCAGAGTAAATAAATAAATAAAAAAATCTTCCTCTGTGCTGCACTGATGAGTCAACAAAGGACGAAACAGGTCGGTTCGCAGATTGAGGATTTTGCTCCTGGTCATGTAGCAGTTGAGTACTCTTGTGTGGGGTAGCGCTTTTGCCGTTTGCGTTATCCTGGAGCTCGCTGACTTGTCAGTTTGAGCACTACGACAGGGTATATTCGGGCCTGGTTTATTTAAATAAGGCTTTTTCATTGCCCCCAGGTTTTGCCCCATTTCCTCTGTGCTGTGGTCATGAGTCCACAAAGGACGAAACAGGTCTATCCGCAGGTTGAGTATTTACCTCGGGTATTGTGTCTGTGAGAAATACATGAAGTTTCAGGGAGATGTGATGCAGCAAAGCAAAAATATTTCAAAAATCCAACAAACCGGAATAAGGGTTAACTTACAGTAGTTGAAGGGCTCGTAGGTTGGCAAATACATTTGTAGGAAGGCCTACAAGTTGATTATGGTTCAGGTATCTGCAAAGGGAGAGGAGAAAAGTTCATTTCGAATATTTGCGAATATTTGGGTTGAGTGATAGCCGCTAACATACCAGGTGGTAAACCGTAATAAGAGGAATAGAACACAAGTCAAGTAATGAAAACAATTGCATAAAAACAAGAATGTGATAAGTAAATTGGAATCCTACTCAAACACAGGAAAATTCAATGAAGCGAGCACTGTCACAGGATAAGTCTATCGCCAAGGGGCGCAAGGCATTGATAGGGCAATGTTTCACGGAGCGCGCTCTTCTTACTCACGTGATGATTGCACGAAGTACGGCAAAGGATAGCTGACATCGCAGGTATGACATCACGTGCCCATAGGTTTTTGCCGTCATGCTGCGCCAACATGCCACGCAAGCGCTTTAGAAACATTCTGGGATGTTCTTTCAGCCGGGGAAAAGACAAGCAGAGTAAATTTCTGATTTTGTCTGCCTCTCGTGTTGCAGAAAAAGCGCTGAAATATTCCTACTAGCATATGGAGCTGCATCTGGAAGGGGACACTAGTGCATCGATAAAAAAACATTTAAATGTGTTTTGCGTACAAGTCCAAAACCCTCGTTCTCAAAGTACACGAATGTGCAAGCTTGCATCATTTGCTGTGAGAGTACTGGTTGCTGTGAATACCTCACCCTGAAAGGGAGCTAACAAAGGTTCAATCACTACTTCTGGGCAGACTTTAGCTAGCAAATCAGCAAAGATGTCACGAACTTCGTAATATTTTAACATTGTTCCTGACGGTGGGGAAACCCCCGTCAGACAACACATGACATGTGCTGCCGTGCAATCATTGGGCCATGCACACGTTAATGGTACATCTTTCAGAGTCCATCCATGCCTCAATGCAATGGCATCGCGGAAGTCACACCTCGACAGGCTGAAACCATGCTCCTTCAAGGGCAGAGTGTTCAGGTAGCCAGAGACAACCTTGGCGGAAAGGTGCTCAAGCTGGCAAACAGTTGATGTGTCTAGCATCCTACGAGCGTCAGCCCAAAGCAGGTCATCGATTTCCACGCGACGATTTGCAGCAGCAGCTTTGGCACGCTTTGCGGAATCACAGGCCAGTTCAATAGAAACCGATGGAGACGACGCTTCTTTACGGTCGGTTTCTGATTGGAGGAGCTTGAACAAGATTATAAGATCATAATAAAAAAAACAAGGCATACTTGCCCAATATTGACGACTTATTCGGTATCGTTGAGGGTAGCTCCTATTTCACCAAGCTCGACTTGCGCGCAGAATACAATCCAATTAGAATCCGTCAAGAAGACGTACCAAAGACGGCGATAAATATCACACTTGGTCATTTCAATTTCCGTGTAATATGATTCGGGTTGACAAACGCTCCTTTAGTCATCCAGGCCCTGATGAATGTTATATTCCAACCCTGTCAAAGAATGTTCATAATGGTGGTCCTTGACGACAACCTGATCTTTAGAAGAACCTGGCAAGACCATCTTCAACACATGGAAACAACTTGATCGTTCAGATTTTGATTCTGATCTTGATAGTGGATCAACTCGATCAAATCCGTCGATCTGCTATGTTAACCGGGTGGTCGGTGCATGGGCAGTTTCAGGACGCATTAATATCGTGCTGCGAACGCACAAATCGAGATTTTTTCAAATTGCACTTCTGCAGAATTTTGCTGCTAGTGAAATTCGAGTCGTTCAGGGAGGGAACTCGTTATTGTTTGGAGTGACAAGGGTTGTCAGTTCAAATTTATTGCATTTTCATCACGATTTTGTAGAATAGCGCAACATCAACTATTGAAATCGTCCGGTCCAATACACTTGTCACCAAGCATGGCGCTTGTGGACAAAAGCGTGGCATAGGGTGTGTACCCGCAATAGTACACAATAAGGCACAATAATACTCGCGCCTGCTCCGGCAGTTCTCAATTAACAACAGGCGGGGAGGTGGCGCTGCATCGCTATGCTGACCCAACCTTATGTCCCGTCCGAGCCCTGGACGCCTACATTCGGTCCAGCAAATGAAGCAATGACAAGGAACCGCTCTTCAAGTTTCAGGATGGTCGCCATCTCAAGCCGAACGACATCAATGCTGTCCTACACAAAGTGCTAGTTCCAAGCATCGGCAGCCATTCCTTACGCACCGGGGGAGCCACACACATGGCGGATCGAGGCGCCCCAAAGTGTGCCCTGATTAAGGTAGTCCGCTGGTCCAGCAGGGCATATTGCACGAACATTCGCAGGTCTGCAGGCATGCCACAGCACTACTAGAGCCTGTGGGTCGCAAGCCATTTGGTACGTTTATTGGAGGCACGGGTGTTGCCGATGGGCGCCGCATAGTGCAAGCACATCTTCACCATTGAACTATTCATGAGTACTAAGATTTAGTGTTCCGCTGCCATAGCAACCTAGTAGTACACATAGCCGTTCCGACGGCGCACGACCCCGCGGGTCGCTTCGGCTGTCCTTGCCTCTCTGATGCGTGATGTGTGTACATCATAATAATCTTGACCTCATACTGAGTACATGTGGCTGCTACATGTACAAGCTTCAGTGCATCGGAAGCCCACAACAGCTGACCAACATTGTCCCACCAGCTGCACCCACTGTGGTTCGTCCACGAACCCAACACACGCATGTGGTGACCCATCCTCACCAGCTCCTCAACACCCTACCACCAGCTGCACCGGAGTACATCAGGCGGTCCTTCCCATTTGCCCACATCAGTTTGTGGAATCAACTGCCAACCTCCCTGTTCCAGCCACCAATGTCCCTGCAACGGCTGCACCGCTTCAAGGCAGCTGCATGGAAGCACTTGCTACACACTGACTGGCTGTGGGCTACAGATCACTTCTAAAAGCCACTGCTGCACACACCTGCGACGAAGTTGCCAGCCACTCTGGTCTAGATTCACCCTGCCGTATCACTCGAGAGCTACCCACACATCTCTCAATCTCCCCCTTTTTCCACTATTATTATTCCCTTCTTGTTTGTTTTGTCTTATTTTTTTATTTCATTTTTTGTCTTTAGTCACTTTCTTATGTTGGCTCATTTTAACCTTATGATTAATTTTGATGCATACATGGCACTGTGACGCCGAGACCCATGGTCGGCAGAGTCCATGTATTTTATCAGCACAGCTATTAACTGGCATTGTGGATTGCGCCTACCCAGTCCAATGTACTTTTTGTCTTTCAACATGATTTGTAGGTTTGTGTTCTGGAGAATGAATTTGAAGACACCACTGCAGCTGTACTTATGGTTGATAAATAATTATGGTGGTAAAGACACACCTGGCAATATGGCGGTAAACACACGCCTGCCCACACACGCTCTCTAGGCTGCAAAGTTCTGGCACGGAGCTCTCCTTCTCACCACCACCACCATCAGTTCGCGCCTGGCGCCTGGTCGATGTATGGCTGGCGGTATCCGGCATAGCAGGCTGGTACATCAAGTAGCGCATGGCACATAGATGATGACACAGCAACGACATAGCTCGATTGCGACGTACGTTTCGTCCCCGCTGGAGTCATCAGGCAATCTTCTTCTTGGATGTCTTCATACGGAGCTTGACTCGGGAGAATGAAATTGAAGACACCACTGCAGCTGTACTTATGGTTGATAAATAATTATGGTGGTAAAGACACACCTGGCAATATGGCTGTAAACACACGCCTGCCCACACACGCTCTCTTTAAAAATAAAATGTACGCCATACTTGATTACCGATCACAGGCTCATGATCATTCACGCTGGAGTAAACGCTTGAGGTTCGGCCTCATTTTCTCTGTTCTGCGCTGATGCGTCCTCAAAGGACGAAACAGGTCTTGAACAGGTCTGTCCCCAGATTGAGTATTTTGCTCTTGTTATCAGTTTCGGCCTCATTTCCTCTGTGCTGCAATGATGAGTCAACAAAGGCCGAAACTGGTCTGTTCGCAGATTGAGGATTTCGCTCCTGCTCATGTAGCAGTCGAGTACTCTTGTGCGGGGTAGCGCTTTTGCCGTTTGCGTTATCCTGGAGCTCACTGACTTGTCAGTTTCAGAACTACGACAGGGTACGTTGGGGCTTGGTTTAAATAATTAGGGCTTTGGGAAATATATTTTTCATTGCCACTAGGTTTGGCCTCATTCCCTCTGTGCTGCGCTTATGAGTCCACAAAGGACAAAACAGGTCTATCCGCAGATTGAGTATTTACCTCGGGTAATGTGTCTGTGAGAAATACATAAAGTTTCAGGGAGATGTGATGCAGCAAAGTAAAAATATTTCAAAAATCATACCCCTGGGGTCCATTTGGGAATAAGGGTTAACTTACAGTTTCTGAAGGGCCGTTAGGTTGGCAAATACATTTGTAGGAAGGCTTGCAAGTTGATTATCGTTAAGCTTTCTACAAAGGGAGAGGAGAAAAGTTCATTTAGAATATTTGCGAATATTTGGGTTGAGTGATGGCCGCTAACATACCAGGCGGTAAACCTTTATAGGAGGAGTAGAGCACAAGTCAAGTAATGAAAACAATTGCATGAAAGCAAGAATGTGGTAGAAAAATTGGAACCCTACTGAAACACAGCAAAATTCAATGAAGCGAGCACTGTCACAGGATAAGTCTATCGCCAAGGGGCGCAAGGCATTGGTAGGGCGATGTTTCGCGGAGCACGCTCTTCTTACGCACATGATTGTTGCGCGAAGTACGGCAAAGGATAGCTGACATCGCAGGTATGACACCACGTGCCCATAGGGTTTGACAGCATGCTGCGCCAACATGCCACGCAAGCGCTTTAGAAACATTCTGGGATGTTCTTTCAGCCGTGGAAAAGACAAGCAGAGTAAATTTCTGATTTTTTCTGCCTCTCGTGTTGCAGAAAAAGCGCTGAAATATTCCTATTAGCATATGGAGTGTCTGTTTTTTTAGCATATGTGTTTTGCGTACAAGTCCAAAAGCCTCGTTCTCAAAGTACACGAATGTGCAAGCTTGCATCATTTGCTGTGAGAGTACTGGTTGCTGTGAATACCTCACCCTGAAAGGGAGCTAACAAAGGTTCGATCGCTACTTCTGGGCAGACTTTAGCTAGCAAATCAGCAAAGATGTCACGAACTTCGTAATATTATAACATTGTTCCTGACGGTGGGGAAACCCCCGTCAGACAACACATGGCATGTGCTGCCGTGCAATTATTGGGCCATGCACACGTTAATGGTACATCTTTCAGAGTCCACCCATGCCTCAATGCAATGGCATCGCGGAAGTCACACCTCGACAGGCTGAAACCATGCTCCTTCAAGGGCAGAGTGTTCAGGTAGCCAGAGACAACCTTGGCGGAAAGGTGCTCAAGCTGTCAAACAGTTGATGTTTCTAGCATCCTACGAACGTCAGCCCAAAGCAGGTCATCGATTTCCACGCGACGATTTGCAGCAGCAGCTTTGGCACGCTTTGCGGAATCACAGGCCAGTTCAATAGAAACCGATGGAGACGACGCTTCTTTACGGTCGGTTTCTGATTGGAGGAGCTTGAACAAGATTATAAGATCATAATAAAAAAACAAGGCATACTTGCCCAATATTGACGACTTATTCGGTATCGTTGAGGGTAGCTCCTATTTCACCAAGCTCGACTTGCGCGCAGAATACAATCCAATTAGAATCCGTCAAGAAGACGTACCAAAGACGGTGATAAAATCGCACTTGGTCATTTCAATTTCCGTGTAATATGGTTTGGGTTGACAAAACGCTCCTTTAGTCACCCAGGCCCTGATGAATGTTATATTCCGACCCTGTCAACGAATGTTCATAATGGTGTTCCTAGACGACATCCTGATCTTTAGAAGAACCTGGCAAGACCATCTTCAACACATGGAAACAACTTGATCATTCAGATATTGATTCTCATCTTGATTGTTGATCAACTCGATCAAATCCGTCGATCTGATATGTCGCGCGGTGGTCGGCGCACGGCCAGACTCAGGATGCACAAATATCGTGCTTCGATCGCACAAATCGAGATTTGCAGAATTTTGCTGCTAGTGAAATTCGAGTCGTTCAGGGAAGGTATTCGTTGTTGTTTGGAGTGACAAGGGTTGTCTGTTCAAATTTATTGTCAGACTAGGCAGTGGTGACCACGCTGCAGTGTTTGGTGTGCTGGCGTCTGGAGTGAAACCTGGTGTTTGAGCTTGAGGAGGCGCTTACCACCGTTGTTGTTGTTTATTTATTTCATATCACATGTCAAACGGGCAGTTTTGCCCAATGTTATGAAAGCAATGTCGGGTAGGAAATTTGCAAAGTTGTAATGTGGTGAAGTGAAAATATTCAAAATATACACCTCCCGACGGATGATCGCCTACAGACCCCACCCCCGCAAGCAACGACCCCGCAAGCCCACGCTTCGCCTCCCACTGTTTATTTTGTTCTGTGAGTCTAATCAGGGTCGCTAGCCCCGCTCGCATAACATCCCGCCACGCATATAATTCCCGCTGGAGAATTGCTTACAGACACTACCGCTGCATGCTACGGCTCCACGGAGTGAAGGCTGTCTATTGATCTGTGTGTCTGTCCATGGTCCTCAGCCCCGCTTGCATAACATCTAGTCAGGGAGCCGACCTTCAAAAAGGTGGCGCTCCGGGTCGGGCGAGATGGACTACAAGATCTCTTCAGCAATGGGTTATGGGTCTATCAGAGAAGGGCTTTTGAGTTGTTGGCCATCCCAAAGCTGTGCACGGACATTCACAATTGTCAAGCATCTGCGCGGAAATGTAAAATCCTTGATGAGAAGGGACCGAAAACGTTCGGATAATTTGACAAGTGCCTTATTTTGACTGGATGTGTGTTTGCGTGTTTGCGTGGATACTTACGACCCAACACGTACCTTCCTTATTAAAGTATTATCCGCCTCCGACCTCTTGTAAACAAAACAAAAAACAAACAAAAAATAAAAGTAGAAAGGAAAAGGACATATGGAAACGAGTTAAGAGTAACTCTCCACCACTGTAACTAGCTACTATATACAGTCAGAAAGTGCAACAACTAGGCACAAAACTGACAGAGTACTGAGACATTCGACGTCCTGACACCTAGCTTCAACACATCTCCGTAGCGCTAACCGACAGCCTTCCAACTTGGAAGGTTCAAGGTTATGGAAAGACCAAAGAGGGGAAGGCAAGCGCAACGAAAACGAGCACAAGCTACAGTCCCAACGGAACAAAGAATGTCGATTGTCCCCTCTTTGGTCTTTCCATAACCTTGAACCTTCCAAGTTGGAAGGCTGTCGGTTAGCCCTACGGAGATGTGTTGAAGCTAGGTGTCAGGACGTCGAATGTCTCAGTACTCTGTCAGTTTTGTGCCTAGTTGTTGCACTTTCTGACTGTATATAGTATCTAGTTACAGTGGTGGAGAGTTACTCTTAACTCGTTTCCATATGTCCTTTTCCTTTCTACTTTTATTATTGGCTCAATACCCGAGTTTCAAACAAAAAATAATAATAATAATTTAAAAATCCGACGAGGGGACAATAATTTTAATATGGCAATAAGTAGGACGAGCTGAAGCGACATGTGGACTACTTTATTAACAATGTAAGCGCTGGAGACGATGCAAGAAACAACCTGAAGGGTAAGGAAAAATACATGTAAGAAGAAAAAGGGCAATGGAAAAAAAAAAGATGATTCGAACAAGTTTTCGTACAACACTCTTCAGGAATCATCGTTGCACTAAAGAACAAAATGAGAACAAAGGAAATAATATAGCAATCAAGGTAGGGTGACACGTAACAATGACAGCACTGGAATATCGAGGTGCGATTTCTCACTAAAGTGTGCAGAAAACAAGGGTATACAAGTAAGAACTAAGCGTGACAAGTGTGTATCAGCAACAAAGACAAGAAAGTGAGAACGAATGATAATAATAACAATAATAAACAAGAAGGTGACAAAACACATTTAGGCACAAGTGGCAACAACGTTACCACACTACACAACAGAACACTGGTGGTGAAGGTGAGACGCAGGACGATGCAAGTGAGGAGGAGAGTCAAACCGCGGTGGATGACGGAGCAGGTTATGATTCGGACAGTGAGGGAGAAGGTGAGCTGAGTGAGGGTGAGAGTGAGTGTGAGGGTGTGCGCGTGAGTCGAGATTGTGTGTGTCCGTCTCGTAATAACAAGTCTTCAGTATACAATCATTTGGTTTCTAGCACTGACTGTTGTCGTACTTATTCTGATTCCTGTTGTTCTGTTTTGTGCCGTGCTCGTCATGGTTATCTTTTGCAGTTACAAGTTTTGGAAGCTGTTTGTCAGCGCATTCATAAGCCGAATTTGTGTGTCCAGAAAGATAGTGTTATTACCCTAAAATTGTTCAAATAGTGTTCTGTTGTGTAGTGTGGCAACGTTGTTGCCACTTGTGCCTAAATGTGTTTCGTCACCTTCTTGTTTATTATTGTTATTATTATATATTATTAAGCTTGCTACGAGGGGGTTTTCATGCCAATTTCTCCTCGCCGATTTCAAGATGTTCGTGCACCTGAGCATTGATTGGGCACGCTCACATGAAGCATTTTACGCGCAGTGAGTGAAATGCATCAGTACAGTACAGTATTTTTGAATTATTTCAAAAACGTTGTCAACACTAGTAATAGCACTCGACTCGTCTCGACTCGATTGAAGGATTACTTATTAGTGGTGTCGAGTCTGAAGCCCGAGCCAATGCTGTAGTTGCTGAAGCCCCATCCTATGGAATACTACCAACTCCCCGGCACAAGGTGAGCCAGTATTTTGTCTTGAATCACGAACTTGAAAAATAAATTTCCCAAAAAAGAAGACACATTGTGAGTTTGATATCAATATTCAATGTTCAATAACAATGCACTTCTGTGTTGGTACACGTATTCTGGTATCCAATGAAAAGAACAAAATAACGTGTCAGTATGTGTCCTCGCTGCATCTCTCTCAAGAAATATTCGTTCAGTTCATCACTTGAATAATTGTCAGTAGATTAATTATCAGTACATGATGATATGTTGCAATGATGCGCACCTCCAGGTAAAATATATTTAAATAGATCATCATGTACTGATAATTAATCTACTAACAACAACAAAAAAGTAATACAATAGTATCTCACACACACAATGTTTATCAATATACAAAAGGAATATGCTGCAATGATTCGCGCATCCTGGTAAAATAGTTAAAAGTACTGTAAAATCCCGCCAGAGCGCCCCGTCTCTCCTATCCACCCCTCCCTGACTTCTTGTCAGGGACGTGATTGATTGTATCCTCGTATGACTCTGTTGCAGTCTGTGATGCCGTACTGCACTGCAGACGCGTGCTCGACCCCGTTGGAAATGTACGCAACAGTGCCCACCCTCCTGACAAAGGGTCGCATAAACCCTGCGTTTTGTCGG